CTTTTTAGAGGCGGCTGCCTGTCCCTGGAGGAGTGTCTCCCACACCTCACAGGAGGCAGGACCACAGCACCACCTCTCCCACTCCTCCTCTCCACGGCCATGTCCAGAGCAGCTGTTGGGAAAGGCACAGCACCGGAGCCTGACAGCTCGGAAGAGGAGCTGGAAGTGGGGGGCGCACCCCAGGTGTGCTACGGGCAGGGTCTCTGGGTTCCCCAGGGGAGAGAAGCAGCTGCCTGCCTGGGGGACACCGAAGAGATGAAGGTGAGGAAGAGGAGCAGGCCAGTGCGCTCCAAGGCTAGGAGGATGGCTGCCAACGTCAGAGAGCGCAAGAGGATCCTGGACTACAACCAAGCCTTCAACGCCCTGCGGCTGGCCCTCAAACATGACCTCGGTGGGAAAAGGCTTTCCAAAATCGCGACCCTCCGGCGAGCCATCAACAGGATCACGGCTCTGTCCCTGTCCCTGCACGGCGCCGGGCACTGCTGGCCCTGCGCTCACTCCGAGTGCCGCGGCCGTGCTGGGGTCCCTGCGCGGGACCCAGGGGTGAAGGCCAACCGCCCCCAGCTCCCCTGGGAGCCCAGTCATGCAGGCGCTGCTGTCTTGCAGCGCTGCCCTCCGTCCCCTCTCTACGCCGGGTTTTCCTCCGAGAGGCAACTCCAGCGCTACGAGAGCCTGAAGGAGGATCACTCCGTGCCCAGCCCTTCCTATTGCTCCAGCGGGACCCACCACCCCGGGCTCCGAGGCCAGCAGAGATACACGAGCCAGCGAGACCCCCTGGCCGGGGTGGTCTCCTGGCAGCTGGGCTGTTGCCAGAGCTGGGGACACCAGCAGTGCCTCCCCATCCACTGACCCACAGGGGTGGGATGGCGAGAGGGTGCCGGGAAGGTAAATCATCCGCGGGACAAATGGGGGGAGCGGGAAGGGACTTTTTCGTGAGGAAGAAGCGCTGTGGGATGCAGAGCTCAGCAGCGACGCTGGCGGGAGCCGCGAGGGACCCCAGCGCCGCGCGGCTGCGGGTCTCCACTCTGCAGGAAATCTGGGAAAGGTGGAAGATACTCTGGGAGTGCCAGCTCTGTGTTTCTTGTTGCGAGGTCTCACTGTTGCCAATTGCCACTGTTATTTATTCCCTCTTGCTTGCTCTGTGAGAAAACACGACTAACGAACCCAACACCAGGCTGTTAATATGTGTGGGGTGGACAGATGGGCCGTGGGGATCACGCTAAAGCCCCTGGCTGGCTGGTCGCTTTGGCTCCCGCCGGTGCAGGAGGAGAGCAGAAGCAGGGAAAGGTTAGTGCCCTGGGACTTTGGATGCTAAGCTCATTGGTGCAGACGTTTGTGCCCGGCAGATTTGCGAGGCCAGGCCGGGAGGGGAGACAGATGTCGGCTTTCATAAAACCCACCCATCCGTATGTGGTTTCCTCCTGATCTCAGCAGAGTGGGCTCTGGTGGAACTGGCTGATTGCATGCTCCCGGACAGTCCCAGCAGCCGGGAAGAAGAGGGGAATTTTACTGAGAAGGTCCCTTTTGTCCCTTCCCTCCAGCTTAGAGAGCTCAGATGGGCTGGGAGGGCTCCCTTCTGCCTGAGGCTCAGCGAACTGGAATTGCTGTGGGAATTCGGCAGGGTTTTACAGCCACTCCTCACCACACCCGGCAGATTTTTGGATAGGGCAAATTGCACGGCGTGATTCCCGCAGTGCTGAGTCCCAGCAGAGCTTCTCCAGCCCTTCCACTTCTGCTCCGCTGCTCCCAGCCGAGCCCCAGCACCGGCTGCC